CCCCAGAACTGCAGCATAATTTCTTCAAGTAGAAGCAGCCGCCTCTGGCCGGGTCCCAGCTCAGCAGCAGAAGCTGATGTACGGCAGGGCAGTGAAGGAAAGCCATAAACCAGCCCCGCTCTCCTCCCCTCCTCCCAGCCCTCGCAGCTCCTCAGCACTCAATTCACTCATGCTGAAACTGGAAAAGCTCCCCCAATACCTAAATGGAAACGCAGCGTGGCAGCTCTGCTCAGGTCTGGCGGGGACGTGGACGTGCTCCACACCAGGGATGCAGCATCTGGGAGAGTCTGTGGGATACAGACCCATGATAAACCCCAACATCTCTCTCAAGAGACGAAGGCACCTTGTTCCGTCATTTCGGCACACCGCTCCCTGTTTATAAACTGTGCTGTTTGAGAGACGTGCACCTTCTCCTTATCCAAATATGAACACAGCTACATTAATCCAGAGAGTCGACAGCTATTGGCTTTTGCCCATTTTAAAACACTAGTAGTAACTTTTAATAAAATGATGTTCAACAAGACAAAAAATACCTGTTAAAATCACATCATTTTCCTAGTTGCACTGTGCTAATAACGGCATACATGAATCACAACATGTGGCACAAATCTGCAGCATCACCCTTTCACAAAGTCAATCCAGAGCAAATTTCCATTTAGAAGTTAATTTTACGTTTTTTTTTTTCCCATTTTCTAAGAGGTTTGTTTCAAGTTTGCACATAAATTCAGCACTTCTAAAGCAAACCAAACAAACAAAAAATCACTTAAACATTTCTTTGAAAAACTGTATTAAACAAAAAGATTACACAGGATAAGGAAAATCAGAAAAAGAACAATACAACAGGCATTGACGCCAGATCAAGTCCAAGAAACACTAAAACCTGTCTGTTGCACAGCAAAACTTCCCTCAGAATGAAAGTGCCAATGAATTCCAGACTGTACGCACATTTTTCCCTCTTTTGTGATAAATATTACACTTATTTAGAAGGGCACTGCTATATTACAGTTTCTTAAAAACAATAAAAAGGTAGCTAGTAAAAATTTAGACCATCAGCAGCATCTGGTATAGCACAAGATCAAAACAAGACAATAGATTTGTGTAACTCACTGAAAACTTTTTATGCTCCTCCTGTAAAAAATATTGTCCTTGGCTTTGAAAAACACCAAGACCAAAGGTTTGACTAATATTGAAAGTATCCAAATGGCATACTAACCAAAGTCCCTAATCCAAAAGACTTATTGGCTCAAAATAGACTTTTGGTGTGATCCCAATTTAATTTCACCATACCTGAAATGCCCAGAACATACATGTATTCCATTTAGAGTGATTGCAATTCTAGCTCACATCAGAATGTGATATTGGCAGTTGCCAATGATGCCATCCTGCTCTTCGCTGAGGTCAGCGGCCAGGCTATTTGCTCTGATTTTTTTTTTCTCAGTGCAGCTTAAACACATGCAGAAATCAGCACAACGGGGCGGGGGTTTAAACCCACATCTCCAGTGAAATTCAAACAAGTCATCACACTTGCGAAGCAAAGGAAGTGCCAGAACCATCATCCCCCCCTCTCTTTGAGGGATCCTACACAAGGTATGAAAACCACAGCAAAAGGTGCCATGCGCTTTGAAAACAAGCAAGCAGCAAACCTGAGGGCAGCAGGCAAAAGCAGGTCCCAGCTTAGGTTCCCGTCCACTGCCTCACCCCCTGCAAGATGGCTGCAAGAGGTTTCAGGTGGGCAGGACATAATTCCACAGGTGAGTCAAAAGGGGAGGGAAGATGGTTGGTTTCTAGCTGATTTCACAAGCCCTGATTAGCAGATCATATACAAATGCAAACAGTTAATATTCACAGAGCAACCTCTTGTGCCTAAATATTATAACAGATTTAACATCATTAATAAATATATAAAACAATATGTTAATCTCACAGACAAAACACGTTTCAAAGGTCAGCATTGACTGAAATACCTAGGCAGTTTGGTCATTGTTTAAAGCACTGAAGAATTTCACACAGATAATAATGTGAGTGTTAAGAACAGGCTCACAAAATACAAACTTAAGCTTGGTTTAACATTTCTGAAGAGGCTCTGAAGTGGCCCTAGAAGCTATTCTGAATGGCCTTCAAATGAGAGCCCCTTGCAGCCATTGCATATTTAAGAATAGAAGGAACTCCTTTACACTGTACATATCTCGGCACTTTATCTAGATAGGCTGCAAAGCAGGTATTCCCCAGGGACCAGCACACACAGGTAAGCGGATCTGTCCCAAACAATGCTGCTCTACATTTCATACAATCTCACGCTGAAAGAGGAGATCATCTAGTCAGCGCTTAAAAGCCTTGGTCTGGGAGATGGAGACCTAAGTGCTCGCTCCTAGCCCTGACACCTCTTCTGTCATCTTAAACCAGGGCCTTTATCTCTCTGTCTCAGTTCACCTGCCTCTGAAAAGGAGCGGCAGTAATTCCCTGCCTTGCAGTACTGTTCTGAGGCTTAATTTCATAAGGTGTTTTTGAAGAGTCTCAGAAAAGGCACTATAAAAGTGCAGCTACTATAATGTCAGAAACACGGGCAGAGGTGTGCGTCCCACAAGCCTTTCCCGAGATACCGATGTGCAAATCTAGTAGAGATGAGGACTCGCACTTGGTCACGCTTCGGCAGTCCCATCACAGCAGCTTTGTTTTCTCCCATAGCTTTGAACAAGCTTCACATTTCCAGGTCTCGACAGAATTACTGGGCTGCCCCGTTTCGCAGGCTGTCTCCAGTCTCCATTTGTTCTAACGGGCCATATTCGGGGTGTGTGACCGGGGACTTCCTTTGGCCTCGGAGAGTGTGCGCATTCAACATCTCCAGCAGCAAGTCATACACTGGGACCACGTTTTTACACTTCATGCTCAGGAGATGCTCCATTCCCTTGTTACTGTGAAGGAGAACAGAAAATAAGTCAGTGATCTGGGTTCGACAATGCAGAGAAGGAAAACACGCTCATGGCTTCAAGAGAGTCCTTTTTGAATTAGGAGTTGAGAGAATTTAGCTGCTGTAGTCCCCGAGATCGCTTACCACTACCAACAGTAACAACATCCCAATACTTTAAAGCTGAGTGTTTTACTATTTAGAGAACCAAGACTTGTTTTACACCACACAAACTGACTTCAGAAAATAATGCAGATGTACTGACCCTACTGAAATCAAAGAGAAAACCCCTTTGATGCCGTAAGCGTGGGAGCCCACACGCTGCAGCTTTATACAAAAGGGGAATTTACAATGTGTAGCTCTAGTGACCACCTACCTCTCCTGCCTGGTTAAGTAGGAAGACCAAACTACCCTGGCTAACTTCAAGCAGTTTCTTTCTTCTCTGCATGTCCAGTGTCAGATCTTGCAGATGGCTACAGGCTTTAAAAGTAATTTTTTTCTTATGCAGTAAGATACAATGACACCTTGTTAGTTTGAACGCTCTGGCTGTATCATGATTCGGACTAACAGGAGACGGCTATTGCCGTTGCAGTTGCACATGCATATACTACAGATGCACTCAAGGTTTTGGGGTTGAAATCTAAGTGCACTTGCTCAGCACTAAATTTATCACATTGGAAACAGCAGCAGACAGCCAGCACATAGCTGACCTGGTGGTTGGATTGGAAGGGGGGCAATGCTTCCAGAAAAATAAGGTTCTGGTACAATTGAAGAGTTATAAATATGTTAATGGCAAAGAAGAAATTGCGGCCCCCCTCCTACACCCAGCTCCTGACAGTCCTGCATCATTTGGTAATCAAGGCTGAGAGCATCAATTATTTCCAGAACAAAGTATAATTGACTGACCAGTGCTAAGCAACGTAAAGGAGACAGGTCACAACAAGTAGCCTCCAGACTTTGGCTGAGGCAGGCGCAGCATAAAAACTCTTGTTTTAATAAGGAAATACAAAAATTTTGCAAAGATTCACAATGTTTATTCACGCCATGCCAGAACAAGAGCTCCTGCGATGCTGTGATGTGGCGTCACACCACAGTGGGCAACCCAGGTGACGGCAGCGCACCAGAGCCGTGAGTCGGGTTCAGCTCTGGCTGGTGCTGTGGCTTCTCTAGGGCCAGCTCTTAAACCCACCCCCAGTTCACAAACTGGCTGTTAAAAGCTGCCTTTCAGCACAGTCAGGTCCCTGCTGCTGCCACCCGCTCTCCCAGGAAGCTTGTTGCAAAGGTGGCTGTCCCTCTTCCAGTGTCCCTACACAAAGTCGGATACGCCCATCTCTCCTGTGCATGCTCCAGCCTGGTCCCAGGACCGTCTTCCCTGGACACCTAGTCCCAAGCCGAGACATAAGACAGCTTTGTCAATAGCTGGTCTCCGGGTAATATTTTAAAATGACAAACAGCCTGAAAATCAAAGCATCTCTTTGTAGGGCCCTGCGTTTGAGCCTGCTGTACTGCAAGCAAAGATGAGCAGCTCAAGGAGGTCCAGGAACCGGCAGGGAGCAGAGGAGCTGCTTCCCATGGGAAAGCAGGAGCGTGGCAGTGCTGTAGCACGAATCACTTGGCAAAAACGCTGTGGTTCCGTATAAAAGACAATAAATTTGGCCTGGGACAAACATGGCACCCAAAGTAGACTTTGCTCCACCAAAGCTCACACTGCAGATGATCAGTCTTGAAAGATACTTTTATTTTGGACAGAAGAGTTTAGATAGCTGGGCGGGTTTTTTTTTGAAAGGCTGAATTTCTGTTATTGTTAAACATTTCAGGCAGATACGTAAAGAACAATTTAATGCAACACAGTTAAGACAGCATTTTAATATCAACCCAACATTCTTGAATGCCAGCAAGCACTTGAGTACGTTGCCTGTTTAGCTGTGCTAGGAAGGAAAGCCTTACAACGAACAGAGAAGAGGAGCAGTCCCAGGATTCCCTCAGGAGTGCTCTGGAGTTCAGGCCTTGCTTTGTTGCTGTAACAAACAAACACTAACAGCTTACACGTTACACACATTCTGTAAAATGTACCTTGCGTGTCTGACGTGAGAGAGGAGCATCAACAAATTGGCCAGACGAGTTGTCTGCTGCTGCGAGGGGATTCCGCTCTTTGCAATAACCCACACCAAAGCATCTGTGACTACATTAAGCAGGTGATGCAGTTTCCTGTTGCTTTCAGGTTCTTCGGCTGACAAGGGAAACATGCCTAACCAGAGAAGGGAAAGAAATACTCCCTGCTCGTGAGGAAGAAAAAAAAGCTACGACTGTGGATTTTTTTTCTGATGTAATATTTCAACAGGATTAGAGAAGATACATTTCCTGACACCTGCCCTCAAGGTGTACAAACGATGCTCCATGTGCCACACCAAGCTCCGACTTACATTCCTTTGCCAAAACTTGACAGCCACATCATTTGCAAACTAGGTAACTCTCCCAAATCCTCCCAAGACAACATGTTGAACATAGACCCTTCAGGCCAGAGAATGGACGTGCTCTCCATTCTCATGGGGGTTTTCCTTTGAATCATTCTGTACCTTGTAGTTTAGTAACTATTACAAATTAGAGCATTATGCTTGCTCTAATAAGTTCTTGCTGAAAAAAACCTTTTTCCTCTGACTGTACCCTAGGGAGGGAGGAGAACACGGTGAGAGACACCGCTCATAGACCCAGCCTGCCATGGTCTCCCTACAGCTCACTAAGGGTGCCGTAATATAGCGCTTGCCTACAGCGAGAAACCTGAAAAGTCAGCGAAGGCAAAAAAGGGGGATTAGGGGTATGGAGAGGGAAGAGAAGAAATCACCACTAGGAAGATCTGGAAACACACAATAACATTATTGATAGAGCAGAAGAGACCTGGGCAAAAAAAAAAAATCCTCCCAAAGATGGAAGGACAGAGCTCCAGAACACCTTGAAAATTAGGAGTAAAAGATTAACTTTGACAAGAAAGGAGACCTGGGAGAGGTGAAAGGAGAGATTTTTTAAAGAGGCGAGGCTTTAAAGAAAATATGGCTGATGAACATGGGTTTTTGTTGGGTTTTTTTGGTTGGTTGGTTGTTGTGGCTTTTCTTAAGAAAAAAAGAATAGCTTTTGTTGTCTGTTGAAACAAACAAAATTCAGACCTGGGCTGGGAATTACACAGCAGCTCCTCGCTGAAAACAGTAGATGTAAATAGTTAGATGTTATTTTGTTGTTGGGCTTTTTTGACAACATTAATTACAACACGTTCTGGGGAATAAAATTGTCTTACTGCAGACTACCCTAAACTAGCAAACACACACTCCTATTTGCCTTGTGTAAAAGGCTGCAAAGCAAAGCTCCTATCCTGAAATTCATCTTGCAGAACTCTTGAGTACTTTCAATCATTTCTACCAATTAATTACCATTAAATCGGAACATTGAAACCCAATTAATCATCACTCGGTTGAGTAACTAGTTTTACTAGAATTAAGAATTAAGGACAGGTTTGTAGAGCTGTACAGCAACTTTACACACAACCAGGATCCACAGATATACGAGCAGAAGTTCTCATTGAAAAGGACAGACCCACAGCCTGGGGCTCCCCCACTCGGGAGAAGCTTTCAGACTTCAGGTCTTTCATGCAGTTCTTACAACAGGACATAGACCCTAAATCCAGCAAATGATACAGTTGAGAAGTTTCTTGAGTAAAAATCCTTACAAACTGATGGTGTAGAAGTCCTTTCCTATTGTTCTCTTTCAATGGTTTTATCTCATTTGATCTTTCTGCCATTTTTAGAGGCTGATTTCCCAGCCACCCTCGAAATCAAAAGTATAATTTGGTGAGCGTCAACTGCGTACTCACTGGAATTGAGGAGAATCATTGCCTTGACACACAGATACTCCTTGTGCTGCAGTTTCAGCTCTCGGAACCTCGAGGTCATGGCCAGGAGCATATCAAAGATCTCCAAAATTCCCTCTACGCATTTCCCCTCGTCCCTATGGAAACACAGTTAAAATGTTACCGAAAAAGTAGAATTAAGGAACTCTGACTCAGCCAGATAAAAGTCAAAGCACAAAAGAGGCTGCAAAAGGCCTATCCATCTCATCTTTGGCAGAATTCAAAAGGTTCTATCATGAAATCTAAATTGAAAAGTACACTGGTATAAAAGAAGAAGAAACCTCTAAGAAACCGATTTTCTCTTTAAAGCGCATGCAGGATTGACCGCAGGTAAGTATGACCATATTTCTGCAAGAGGCTTTATCCTCACAGCCAGTGTAATTCTGGATAATCAGTTTGAAACTCGGTAGCGCGGGGCACAGAACCACCTTGAATCATTCTCCAGATTTGTTTCACAAGGAGTTAATAGCACAGCTGGTGACACGACTGTCTGTACCTGACGGAGGCCTCAGGACTTGGTGAATAAGAAAGACCCCCTAAAATAAGTTTCTTGGAACAATAAGACATTTTTAAAGAATAAAATAACCTCTACCCCCATTCCCCAGCACCTTTTTATTTGAAGGTGTTTAAATATAAATAAATTTTTGGGTTTTTTGGTGGTTTTGTGGTTTGGTTATTTTTATGTTTGCAAGTTTTTACTGAATGCAACTTTCTCCATTTTGGATATTAGAAATGGTCCCATTTTCTGATCTGGAAAAAAACCCCGAACAACCCTAAGCCATTCCAATTAAAATTAAGCAGCAGCAAATTTCAAACCACTGAAGCTATTGTTCCAGTTTTTTGATTAGATTTTTTTTACATGTACTGGACAAAAAAAGCAATTAAGCTCTACAACACAGTATTCAAAGGGTTGCTTCTTATTCCTATCTGGAATATAAGATTTTTTTCTCTGTAGTGTTTTTAAGACGAGACAGACTTAAGCACAGCAGTGCAGGAGTATTAAGGACCTTCACTCCTCTCCTGGATCCCAAGAGGAAGGTGCTGAGCCTTCAGGCTGCGAGGCACGGGCAGGTAACACTAACCAGGTGCAGCAAGAACTGCCTGCAGAAAGGCAGCTGCCTGAATATTGCCCGGTTTCCCGTGTTCCTCATAGCAAAGGAGAGTTTTAAGCTTTGGAGAAGGACAGGCAGCTGCCAATTTCAAAACAAAGACACAAGCATCAGAGAAGTACTTGCCTACAAAGACTATGTAGGAAATGTATCTGAAGTTCAGCTAGGATAAAAACAATCAAGTTACAGACCAGTTTCATATAAGCATGTCTTAAAAAAAAAAAAATTACAGCATGCCCAGATGCTTGCTAGCTCCCACTCTGCTGTGTCTTGTAGAGATGAAGGAATGCATCAATAAACTCACCCTATTCAACACATATTAGCTTCCAAGGAACTACATGTATCACACATTTTCAGCAATTTCTTACCATTGTATTGAACAACACAGCATGTCCCTGCATTGAATTTTATATGAGCAAATAATAATTTATTTCATATCTTTTATAAATTAAATTTCTTTCTCTTACTAACCCATTTTGTTTTCTGTATCTATGATGATGATTATTTCTGAGCTCAAGCCACAGAGCTGGTACAGATCTGAATTTCCCCAGGTTGAAAAGGCTAAGAGACATTTTAAGCCTACCCAAAAGAGTAGATTGTTTCCCTGACTTTTTACCAATATGAAGCCCAGGTCAAATCCTTCTAAGGTCCTGTAGAAAAACATCCTTGCTAATCCATATTCTGCCCTGCCGGTACATGATGTTATGGAGAAATAATTTTTAAACTTGCAAACAGCCTGCTTTAGCTTGAAAAAATATTCTCAGTATTGAACAAGAAGCTAGGGTTTTTTAAATCCCTTTTGGCTAGTGCTGCAATGTTCATTATTATAGCTATCTATGAAGGCTGCAGTAGTGGCAGGAAGAAAAACAGGTAGAAAAGCTACTTAAAAGAATTAAAATATGGCCTGACACTATGTGTACTTTTTTTTGAGGGATGTGGGGAGAAATTCACAATGTAGCGCATAGTGCTGATGTGTCTACAGTTTCAGCATCTGGAGACCCGGACCAAAAGAAAAAAACGACAGAAGACGTGAAGAATACAGAGGAACTTCACACTGTCACGTGCTATGGGAATTCAGGAATTTGCAGGTTCAACAATACCGTTTATGCTTAGCATTCCTTAAGCCCCTGTAAGGATGTGGAATCTCAAATCACTATTGTTACAAATACAAGTAAATTATATTGTTAGATAAAATATTAATAGCATCTCCCATACTTAATCCTCTTCCTCCTACCATTCACCCCACCTCCAACCATGCTAATATGAAGTGTTCTCAAGAAATTTATTTCTCTTACCTGTCCAATACAAGGTCTGGTGCAAAAATCAGTTTCCCAGGATGGTCGATTGATCTCCACATCAAACCAATCATTAAAACTTCCATCCAGCAGCTCTCCAAGAGTCTTACTTGGTCATAGAGGCTGAGATCAATGAAGCCTAAATTGATGAAAATAATAGCATAAAATAAATCAACCTGTTTGTTTCTCTGTTTTGATAAAGACGACTGAGTATACGAGAAACAAAAAGAAACAGAAAGAATTATGGGTTGTGAAGAAAGCCAGAAAAGGGAGCATTGACATCAAAAGCGCCATGCTGCCATCTCAAATAGGAACATAAATACTTGTTATTATCATTGTCAAATCTTCCACAAAACATTTGAAATAAAGCAGAGTGAGGTTCAAGTGCAATTATTCCCACACAGCTGGTGAAACTTAAGTGACCGCAGAGGACCTGCCTTATGCTTGGCCACCTCTTTAGCTGACGGTCCCACAGCCTCCTGAGAGGCACCAGGGATTCACTCGGGAAACTCGCATTTGTCGGATATTACTGCATTGCACTGCAGAGGACACCTAAGAAAATAGTCTGTTCTTTCCCCAGAATGCATATGGTTGTCACTTGCAGGGTTTTTTTTTTAATCTCATAAAACAGGCACGTTTCTGGGTTTGTTGGGTAACTATGAAAGAACCCACACATTGGTGCCTCTGTGTTGTCAACCCCTTTGTAAATGACATGTGTTGACCCCAGCCACTGTTTTCCTGCCACCCCCTTCCCCAAAATTGCTATAAACCAGAAAAAAAAAAAAGAGGAGGGTAGTTGGTGAAGGTATAAGTGTCCCCATTGCCTCCATTCACAGCATCCTAGAAGCAAGAACAGAATTAATGCAGTTGTGCATAAGCCTGTTCCAGCATTTAGTTGTCTCCAGAAGTTATAGCAAGGTGTCAGATAGCACTGCAACACAGCCAGAAGGGAGAGACAGTCGTTGCCCTCCCTTTGCCTTCCCCTGCAAAAAAGACTGGGGAAAAAAGATGCATAGAAACCAAATAAAGAGAAATAAAATTAACACACATGCAAAAAAAAAAAAAAAAAACCAAAACCAAAACACAGAAAACAGAAGAAGTGTGAATTATCAAAATGCAGACTGCTTAGTCAGGGAATAAAATACAGATACGATGACAACCAGTTCAGTGGTCAAACCGTAGCTGTGTTCAAAACCAAGATCAGGCCACAGTTTTCAAAGCAGAGCTGCTTTAGGTAGGGCTCTTAGCAAAGGCACTTCGTTTTTAGATGAGCTTCTATCTACGACTCTGCAGAGTGAAAAACCGTGACACAGCCTGGCCATGGGAGACAGGCTCCCCTTAGCTCTTGCCAGTTGTCTGAGGTCTTAAATTACCCACAGTACGTTTGCGCTGTCAAAGAATCTGCTGTCGGTAATTTATACAAATGCTCCATGTCTTTTAATCTTACTAAACTACTAGGCTGGAAGACAGTCGGTGACAGCTCTGGGTTGACATAAACTGGGTAATGCGCACTCTCTCTTACGATTGCTCGAAGTGCTGCCTTTCAAAATCGATAGTCTTGCTCCTTATTTTATAAGAAGGGTAAACAGCGCTCTATGAGCGGTACCTTCCCTCCTGGATTTCGCTGTCACAGAATTTACTACAGAATCCACAGCCAACAACAGATTATCTGCCAGACACACACTCATAATTTTAAAAGTGCTTTTAGAAAAATAATCACGGAAGTGTGAATAGTATAAACTGACGGTGGCAGTTTCCTGGGAAACTACAGCCCAAAGACATTTCAGAAGTTTATTTAAATAAACATTTCCACAGGCATGTGCTGATTTCTCTAGCATAAATAACCAGTTATTGGGTTTAAAAACTATCTATCTCAGTTGAGCAAGATGTCAGTCCAAGCCCCAGCATTCAATCTACAGATACTTAAAGATCCAGATTTATCCCAGATGTCATCTGCTAAACTCACATTTATCCACACCAGCAGTATGATTTACGACCATTGAGCACGGCGATTAGAAGGACTATACCTTTCCTTTTCCTAACAATCTTGTGCTTTAAAGATGGAGGACAGCACATCACCACCACAGCTTCCACTGCAGTGGCAGAAGTCCTATTTCATTGCTGCTAAGTACATTAAACTACTTATTTTTCTGCGGCTGTAGTACACGTCCTTTAAATCATGTACTCTATACCTGATCATTTAATTATAAATTACTAAGACAGACAAGAAAAAATGTGTGCTGGATGTGTAGTAACTAGCAGAAGACAGGCTGCTCTGGCCAGCAACACACCGGGTTGCATAATGAATCCCCATTTCCATCTTATGACAACATCCTATCGATCAGCAATACAGGTTCAGCTATGAACCACGTTCAACTCTCTTAGACTAGGTCAACAAAGTAAAAAGCAATTATAGAAGTTACGTTCTGCTGTTTGACAACTTAGAATTAAAATACTTGGAAATCAGAAGGAAAAAAGTTCAGGTGTCAGCTTCTATTTTACTGAGCAACAACAAAAATACAATTAAGCTGAAAGTGCAGACAAAAATACAGTCACAGAGTAAAACTCATAACAAAAGAAGGTCATTAAATATTAAAAAAAAAACCAAACCATTTATCTTTCCTATTTGGGCAAAAAGTTACTGTTAACATCAGCATCTATAAGGAAAAATAAAAAGATTTTCTTTCACTTTTGGTGAGTGTCAAAATAATATCCAATAATAATGTAGAGGTGAAAATGGGCTTCTTACCCAGCTACACAAAAGCAAATATTCAGCTTTACAGAAAGTAAAATTACTGTTCACCGGGCCATTAGTCAAGAACTCTGTATTTTTTTTCCAAAACCTTACCTCCAGGAAGCAGAGCATGGATCTAGATGATTAACTTCAGGCAAGAATTTTTGAAAACTGAAATTCTATGTCATCACAGTTATTTTAATGGAAATAAAGCTTTAGTCATCACACTTATTTTAATGGAAAAAAATAAATAAATCCACATTCAAGTAAATGCTCTAACTACCATGCAACATGGCAATATTACTTATAATTAGGTACATATTAAACATCACTTCTATTTTTGGCATTGCTCTAAAATGTTGTTTACTTCTGTTCTGTTTAACAGGAGTGTTCAGAAAAAACAAACATACACGATAAAGTGTCAACCTTCCCGGGGAACTGCTTTGAAGGGGTTTGACTGCTTCAATGGGTTTTCTTCATACAGTTCTCTTACTGCTGAGAAAAAGTTTTTATTTCTGACAGATCTTGAAAATAAACTAAAAGTGATCAATGTCAAAATTGGGGTTGATTTGGAAACTGATCTTTTAAAAAATTCAAAAAATTAATCTCAACTGGCTGAGGTTTTGGCTTTGTGGTTGGGTTTTTTTTTAAAAAGCTGACATAGTTTAAAAAAGTAGAAATTAAGAACAATCAGAAAATGGAAAAGGTTGTTGTGGATTTTTTTCCCATTCAAGTATTGCTTAAAATGAGGACATTTTCTACAACTTTCTCTGGTTTCCTTCACAATTCACTTCCTATCGGATTAACATGACTATATGGCGTCCTCTGAAATGGAACCTTTTGATCAAGTTTTTCTGATCAGACAAGATATTATAGCAATAGACACCACTTAACCCCTTATGGTTACAGTTATTTTCAGAGTTTCTTAAATCAGGAAAAAATAAGGATTAAGGATTCAGGCTCTCAGTTTAAAACATTCCACGTTAATGGCAAAAACTCTATCACTTTGCAAATTGCTAGCATGGTTTAAGATGCTCGTGCTGTGCAAGCATCTCCTCCCCAGCAGCTCAGCAGCTGACCTGGAATTTGCACACCCTAAAACCGTCACACCTGAACTCTCCAACACAGTGGCTGAGCCGTGGAGCCTGTAGTGTGCAACTAGGAGATGTGGTCCAGCAGCTGGAGCTGGTAGCACCTTCAGCCACTCCAACTAGATCTGAAATAGGATGCGTTTCCCTCATCCTAAATTCTTAGTTTAAGGATTATACGAAATATTCTCCACCAAGCTTGTTTCCTATACCGTGTACACACTCGATTTATTTCTAGGCATAACGACTACTGTCATGTCTTCCTAGGTGCATATTCAAGCAGCAGCAAGTGCTGTTTATAGTGCACAAGCGTGACCAGACCAGGGCGTGCACCAGCACGCTCTGGTTGCCTTCAGCGTAAAATCCAAGAGAGGAGCTGTGGTGTGCTGGCTTCCCAGTTCTGATGGACGTGGGGTTAGGACTACCAGGGGCACTGCAGAATATATTAGCCATGTAAGGTAAGCACAGCCGTAGGGATCACTTCTCGTAGAGCACTATATCTGAAGTTAAGGATTAAGCCCCATGCTGCTATACGTCTATCAATTATTCAATGCTTCTTTCAGCTCCCTATTAGTAGTTGGTCACCTTAGCTCTCGCTGAAGGGCCACAGTCTGTGGTTTAGTCTATGCCAGCCAACAAGATTTTCTGCACAACTTTGCCAACTATCTTCTCTGTGTGCTGGCTGCTTTTATTCTGGCTTTTATTCTTTATTCTGACAGTTTTAATCATGGGCGCTTCCTGGAGAAGGAATTGCAAATGCTCACCACTTCTCGTTTGTAAGAAGTGAAATGGTACGTTGCCACGATACTGTGGTCGCATTTGAGACATTCAAGGCAATAACGCATGTAGTTGTACTTCAGTGCATGTTCTTTGTGTTGCCAACAACCAAAAGCATCCTTATTGATTTTTGTTTTGAAGGAGAGCGCACGATAATTCTGAGATCAATACTATGCGACGCTTTGCAATCTGATGCTCTTGTGTAGCAACTATGTCAACTGAAGCAATTGCAGACACAGTGCTTGGACGCACTTCAGTTTTCATCAACTGTATTAGAAACCTTCTACCAGGATTCAGGGAAAGAATTTGGTCTTAAATTCTTTTTTATAGCAATCTAGTTAATACCGCTTTTAATGAACCTTCTAAATCAGATTAATCAGGTATTTATAGTTGATGAGGTAGAAATTACATGCAACACCAACTACGCTTTTTAGCAAAATGAAAAAGTATTTGACTAACAACAGATAGCAAACTATGGGTTAAATTGTTGTCTAAATCAAAATACATTCAGGTGAATTACTGAGAGCAATAAATTGACCATTACTTTATAGGATAAAAAGCTTAAGTTTTTCATACCACACATTTACTGTGCTGTGCTATTATTTCAGGGTAGAGAATGGTACATTGATGGTAAAAGCATCGAATAAAATGAACAAAAACAAGACTGAAATTCTTACCAGGAATTTTTTTGGCCCAGCCAATCATGTGAACCAGCTCTTTGTCTGCCAGTTTTGTCAGGGACATCATCATGGAGGCCTCCGTGAATGGTTTGCTGGGACGACTCACCAACACATTGGGAGGCTCCGCTTCAAGTAGTGTTAAAACAAACTGCTCTGGACTGACTGTGCTGAGCAGGATCTCTTTTACGCGGGTTACCGTCTCGTTGTATTTCTTAGCTTTGCCAATGCAATGCACCTGGTCTTCTGAATTACGATGGCGACGCAGGATCCGATATCCACAACGTTCTCTTCTTGAGCCTGACACGAGAGGCACATGATTGCATTGAAGTATTTTTCTCTCAGTGTTGCATTATGTAAATCCAAATGTTTGGGGAGAAGGGGAAAAACCCTTTGATATTGGATGTTCTAATGTTGAACATCAAGTTTCAGAATTTCTAGAGTATTCACCATTGACTTAACTTTGTTTCCACTGACTTCAGCTGAGGCTTTTGTTTATTCTACTAAACAAAAAATAATGTTAAAAAATGTCTATTTTTGAACTTCAGTTAACTCACTTTAAAAGTCCATGGGAAAATTCCCATTGACATCAAAAAGAGATAGATCAGGTCTTTAAATGCAAATAAAGACAGCTGTTTGTAAATTCTGTTTTTAAATTCTGCTTTAGATGTAAACTAGGGGAAGAAAACACTTCTGAAAGTCTGGGCCATGATACAGAGTAAATACCTCAGCCAGAAGCACAGCTGGACTTCACTGCTAGCTGGGTGTTCAGCTAGGGACTTGCTGAGATGCAACCCGTTTTCTCCCTAAGTCCCATTAAGCCAGCAGGAGTTTCCCCAAAGCGAATTCAGATATCTACAACTAGAAGGAGCAAGCCCCCTGTTTCGAGTTCTGCATGCAGAACGCTATTTCTGTTGCAAAGAGCAGTCCTTTAAATTCCTGGAACTGATTTATTGTTCATTCTAACACCACCAAACATTCTTCATTCTCTGTCAGTGTTATTGGTGGGACCACTGTTATCTGTTCTTGCATAGCTGCCATGGAAAGAGTCTAAAAGCATCTCCAAAAACATGGTATGGGGATTTGCTAAAAAATTCAGCCATGGCTTCTGCTTTCCCTCCCGCCTTCAGCATATTCTATAACAATGACTATGTTTACTGATTTACAAATAATCCTTGGCAGTAACTAATGCGCAAGATTGTACTGTATTAAAAATCAGGATATTAAAAAATATTAAGTTACTGAAGAGATCCTTAGACTGGAATCCTCCAGCACTTAACATTTCTAATATCACAGCTAAATTGTCCTCTAAATCTTTTAGAAGTTAATTTTTTGTGCTGGTCATCAATACTTTTACCGACATATGATACTCAAAGGTTGAATTTTCATAGATACGAAAATGCCTGTGCTAACATAAATCTATACCAGACCAACATTTATTATTGCATACATACAGACCATGGAGTCTTAAAGCATAATAAGTTTTCCCATTTGGTTTCAGTCCCACAACAAATTTGACAAAAGCATCCTTTCTGCTGCCGCTACTATCTTGACGTTACGACATTTATGAAGTCTTTCTGGTGTGTTGCCTAATGACTTCTTGCCCTCATCACAGACTCTTCTTCATTAGGGTATGTGATTAAAGGCTTCATAAAGTGCATGAAGACAAAGAAGCAAAGGAACGATGAAGATGGAAGAATCCCAAGAACCTAACCAGTGACAAGCAGCACACTGACTAGGCTACTCTCAGGGCTATCAAAGGAGAATGATCAGCCTGCGGCCTGGGCATGGCACCCAGCAGATAAGTCAACAGGGACCAGGCATTCCAAGCCATCTACTAGAAATACCAGAGGATCTGGGTGTCAGCTACTGGTAGGGCCATAGGTTTGGACCAGCTGCCAGAGACCTATTTGTGTGTGTGTGTGTGTGTGTGTGTGTGTGCAAGAGAGCATGTGCACAAGATACCTGGAAGAACAGAGGATCCAGGGGCCAGCTACTGGATAACATTGACTTTCTAAAGCCAGTTACTGGAGGGATCCATGTACATGTGTGTTTCTGTGACCATTTGTGTGGGAGAAGGTCTGAGTACCTGCAACTGGGGTGAGGCTGCAGACCCAGAGGCCATCAGCTGGGGAGATATGGGGATTCGCAGGCCAACTATTTGACAGACTGAGTGTCTAAAGCCAGCTACTGGAAGGATCCACATTGTATAAATGCATATCTTTTCCACTGCTTGTGTTTGCATGAGTGCTATATTTTCTGACTGTGGATACAGATATTGTGTGTGTATGTGCCTAATAACAATACACGCTCAGACTTGCTACTGGACCTGGGGACATGGCAATGTGGCAGTTTCCCTTCTGTCAAGCTACTGTATTCAGCAATTCCTACCATTCTTCATCCATATCTATGAGAGTTATATAAACCATGAGTTGTCTAAATGCCAACCAGGCAATGCAATTCTGGCCCTGAGTTTCAGTTAGCGAAGAGGTCCAAACATAAGCCAAATTAAAAAAAAGGGAGTAGGGGCACAAAAAATTAATTTCAGATGCTGCTGACAAGGCTTTGTCTTGCTAAATAAGATGTTGGGTGAATGCAGACTCTCAGTGGTGGAGGTTCCTCAGATGAGATGGCTTTTCAGGTCATAGTCCTGTCTTGTCTTCAGCAGCTATCGAGCACCATTTGAATCAACCCGTGAGAAGGGTGAGATGCAAAGGCCAATCGGGTACAACCTGAATGCGCTGAAAAGACTGGATAAGGACTAACAAAGTCTGCCAGGACTTTAAGGATGTGGAACTTTCAACTGCACATTGCTATCATCCTCACTTGCTGCTTGTTCAGTAAACCACCTCAGATGTAAAAGAGAACAGGATGCCCATTAAAGAAGTTTTCTCAATATCGGAGAACACCCTCTATCTGGAAATCCAAGAGACTCAAGAATACAAATACACAAAGCTGGTTTGATGAACAGTCCTCAGACATGGAGGAATCCAAGTGGAACACGGCATTTGGAACTGGAAGCATCATCAGCTGGAAGTCCAGCTTAAAGTCGGCACCATTTTGGGCAAGGATGGTTTTGTGTCCTTAAAAGGAATATGGGCAGGATGAAATGGGTTGAGTACTGACAGGACATTTGCACAAATAATGGATTGAAGGAAAACAATCAATGATTTGCAGAACCAAATGCTTAGCTGAATGACATCTAGCTAGAAGTTGCCAGAGCAGCTGTAAGATACAGAGCAGAGACAATCAGAGCTGGAGACATTATCTTATGGTAGATTCATGAAATCAGACTTGATATCAAAAAAGGTTACCTGCAGAACCACACAAGTCACAGGTTGAATTTCTTCAACCATCTGTCTAGGCAAATCCTTTTCTTTCTGAGAGAGTCAAAGGACAGCGAGGCATAGACTAATTTCTACAAAGACACTTGGATGATGTAGTGAACTCTGTGCTAAGCCTCCTTTTGGACTAATGTACAAAGATCAAGAGGAAAATCTTCAAGTGCTTTGTCAGCTTCAGAAAAACGTTAGAATGGCACAGTGGACTGCAGACTGTTCTGGATTCATGTCATGCACAGAAAGTATGTAAATATTTTCCATCAGGGAAGACAAAGAGGAAAGGTCAACAGTGAGCTAAGCAACTGGAACAAAAATACAACTAAAGACAGATGAGGAAATGCCTAGGTATCAGGGTGGTCTGCCTACAGAGATCTCTAGGGCTCTGATTTCCATATGAATGTGCATGGTAGAGACTGTAACCACCAGGAGAGAACTGAACTAAAGCAAGAAGCAACACCTCACGTTGTTTCCACTCTTTAGAAAGCTGAAGCACATTGAACATGGGCATCTTAAAGGACAGAAGAAGAAAAATAGCAGGGAAAAATAGAGGGACTAAAAGCCCTAGGGAGAGGCAGGGCTGAGGAGAAATTTTTTTGGGCTATCAAAAAATACCAACTGCTCCATGACACGCATAGTTTTTATTCTCCAGTACCTGGTGGAGCTGTGAAGCCCCGAAAAAGAAGACACACAAATAGCAGTCTTTTAATTAAACACATGGAAGAGTTGTTCAGTTAGGGACCATATCTAAAATAATAATGTCAGAAAAACTACTGTTTTAAGAGGGAGCTGGGGAGAGGAGCCTGATAACACAATGAGGAAGAAATTCCAGCAGTTTGGACACACCTGCCAGAAGCAACCTGTGGTCAAGCAAGCACTTGCAACCAGCTCATTGACCCTAGTTCAGTTCCTGGCACTGAAGTGAGCCAAGTGCACTTTTGTGGGACTCCACATCCTCTGATAAGCTGTCCTCAGCTCTGTCATACTGTCACCCAGACTTCTCTGTGGCACAGAAAATATTAGGCCTTTGGTGCTAAGACCCGAGTTATCCTTTCAAATTTACTGTTGTAAAGATTTTTAAATAACATTTTGTAGCCTATCCAAAATATAAACACACAGGTAAGTGACCAGGTACTTTAATGAAGATCAAAGAAATCAGTAAAATTTTAAAAAATACTAAAAAACAGTAGTCTAGCATCCTGTTCTAATTGATACAATCTTGTACAATTTTCACCTGTGCAGCTGCACTCCATGCTCCATCTTAAAATAATTCAGTCAGGTTGTGATACTTATTGAAAGTATTAAAGGTCTCAGTACTTGTGGAGGGTACTTACTGGGAAATAGCAAGCCCCTTTAAGTTACTTTAGGTTATTTAACTAAATCAAGTTTCATATATAACCAGTACTTATTTAAAAAAAAAAAAAAGTTCCATTTAAAACATAAAAACAGTTTCTATAATCACATCTCCATGCAGAAAGCCAAACTAGGAGTGTTATGACATTTCTGCATGAAAAACTTGTTACTAAAAAAAATATAGTTGGTGATGAAAAAAAAGGGGGACACCCCTCCCCCCAACAAAACCAGATTCTGAATTATGGTTTGTCATTTTTAATCACCATATATTACCAAAGCAGGTGAAGGATGATTCACTGAGCAGTGTGCATAAAACACAACTCCTCAGTAATTAAAAGAGATACCATTTATTTCCACATTAAAATTTATTCTGCTTGTATTAAAAAAAGGATAAAAAAAGAGTGCATTGTAAGATTACTCATCTAAGAAAACGATATTTAAGCTTGCTAGTCAACTGACACATCAGAAAGTAGCAGCCTTTCAACATTTCAACAACATAAAGGAACTTCTATGCTTTTTATTCAAATCCAAAGTTTAGGCAGGACTGAGAAATTTTACCTGTATGTCTATTAGCATCCAACAGGCATATATAAGTGCTTATAAAACTAT